GCAGTATATAAATCAAATCAATAAATAAAAAGTGGAAGACAGGAGTAAATCAAGATGATGCCACACCATACTTTTGTTCTCCAAGAGTGTTTATGTTTAGCATTTAAAAGATTCATACTGTAAGCATCTTTAAAATTAAAAGATTCATGCTGTAATAATTTATGCTGTAAACATGGTTTGCAGTTTCCTATATCAGGCCAGAAAGCTAATGGTTCTTACTGTGGTAATTAACATTCTGAGTCAGCCGTGAGCTATAAAGAGAGGTAAGCTATACATTTCAATTCCGTCTTCCTATCAGAGTCCCTCCTGAAGCTGCTGCACTTTAGCACAATTCAGTCCTTTCTCAGAAGGTGCCCATAACACTGGAATCAGGAATGCAGTGAGATTAATTAACACTCTTACCATGATGCAAGAAAGTTTCACAGAGTCTGGAAACAGTACAGTTTCATTGAGAAGATGCAGTTTGTGGCACTGGCTTTATACGAGTGACCAGAATGAAGCCGTGCTCAGGACATTGGGGCATGCTCCTCTTACAGTAGATGCAGGCTCGTTTCTTCTACGTTGTTTGAAGCAGTGCAGGTCTTTGAGCCACCGTCTTCGGTCGTCTGCCATTGCTTAGCCATTTGTTGACGACCGGCACACCTAATATTTTTAACTATTTTCTTCAGATTCTTCCTAAACTTCACTCCAATGAAGAAATAGAGGACAGGGTTGAGACAGCTGTGGAAATAGGCAATGGCTTCTGTTATGATCAATGCATATTCGTAATACTTGCTGAGGAGGACATGCCGGTCCATGACACGAATCAGTTTCAGCAAGTTGTAGGGTGCCTGCGTACAAATAAATGTCATGACGATAGCAAATACTATCTTTACTGACTTGTGTTTGTTGAAACCCTTGGCTTTGAGCAAAGTGTTTATAATGGTAAAGTAGCAAAAAAGCATGACAAGCATAGGGCAGAAGAATCCAAGAGACATTTGAGTGACTTCAATTGATTGTTCCATTTGAAGCGAAGAGTAATTTGCACGGCACACTACTTTGTCGTGCTTGGCCTGAGTGCTGTACGTGAATTGGGGCAAAGCAAATGCCAAGGAAACAATCCAAAGAAAAATACAGATTACTTTGCCCCAGATTGTCCTTTTGGACTGGCTGATGTGGACCTTGGTGGCTTGGACAACTGAAAAATATCTCTCGATAGTCACACAGGTGAGGGTCAACATGGATCCATACAGATTCAAGGTGTAGAAGCCTCGGATGACTTGACATGCCAAAGTACCAAAGATCCACTCGTGAGCAGCAGAGTATGCCCAGAATGGCAGTGTACCAAGAAAGCATAAGTCTGCTGTCGCCAAGCTCACTAAAAATATGTCTGTTACTGTCTTCACTTTCTCATAGAAAACAAATATGATGAGAACCAGTGCGTTACCAGACACTCCAAAGATGCAGGCAAATGAGTACATGCAGATTAGGAAAACTTTGCTAAACCTTGGGAAAAAATCACTGTCGTAGTCTTCTTTGTACACTTCACTGAGGTATGCATAATAATCCTCATCGGTGCTCATATCTGTAATCACATACATTTGAAAAAGCATCTCGTTAGGTGAATCCATGGCTCAGAGTGTGTCCCTACAATGCTGCAAAAGTCTTCATATTACTGTTCAGGCAATACAGCTATGCCAGCCATAGGCTTGGGTTTTGTGTGCCTTGTCTTCCACTGAGAAGAAAGGAAGCTGCGCTAGACCAAGTTGCAAATACATGGGATTGTTTATATCTGGTGTTGCAGCAC